GGTGTAACGGCCCTCATCGGTGATCGGTATCGGTATCGGGAGGAAAAAACCTGATCGGCACATCCCTATTAGGAACAATAGCTGAATTACTTACTGTAGCATTTAATAATTTCTGTTAAAGGGGAATCTCAATAGATCAGAATGTCACTCAATGTTCATTTATTCATTCAAATCAATTCAAAGAGAGATTTTTACACTCGCACATTATTTTTGTTCACTATTACTACCAGCTAATTTAAACTCAAAACTCATAAAACATTCTTATGAAATTACATTTTTACTTAACAATAAAAAATGTAGAATTAAAAAAATGTTTTGTTATAGTCACATCTATGCATTGACAGATGTACAACAGGTTATTTAGCCCTCTACATGGACAGTCAGCCATAAACACCCACTGCTAAAGAAATTGGCTGTTTACAGAGAAGTGGACTTGAATGTATGGAAAGTTGAGTGAAGAAAAAAGTTAGGTAGAAAAGTGTGCGCAATGAAGTTGGACAGCAGCAGCTTTAAGAGGACTGCTATGCTATGAAAAGGTGGATGGCACCGCCTGGAGTCTCATTAATGGAAGTTCTCAGACTTGGATGTAACTGGTTTTGATGCAGCCAAGTTGACTTATGACTGATATTCTATATGTACCAGAGACCATAACTGGAAACACTTTGCTGCCAACTAGAGGCTGGAGTTACTCTGAGTTAACAACCCAACATATTTACCGGACCTGTGTGCCATGTTGAGATGAACAATCAGTTCAGGGTCTGCTTCACGGTCAAACTCAAAATCAAAATGTAAGATACAGTGAGATTCAATAAATTAGAGTTCTGATGAGGTCAGGCTAAAAGTACCTCTGACAACAACAACCTTTAAGCAGGTATTAAACACGCTTTTGCCACATTTCTGCATTCAGTGGTTTTTCATGTAATATTCTAAGTGTACTGAGCAGCTCTGTACATGTGAAAGGATACGAGGTCTGCAGAGCCAGTAGCTGCAGCAGCAGTCCCTCCAGCTGGCTGCTCAGCTCCTGGTGGTTAGCAGGCGGCGTCACTGACTGGTTCGGTGTGATGATGGGCCACTGCAGCTGAGCCAACACTTTCTCAAAATCACTATGACAGAAAAAAAGGAGAATCAGACTTCTGAAGCATCTGACCTCCTGAGAGCCGGGGCTTTGAGGCAGAGCTACCTGGTCAGTCGATCCTTGATGATGTTGTGCCAGAAACAAAGAGTTTTCCGGAGAAAGTCACGAAGATGGGAACATTGGGATTGATTGAGACCACAGTCCAGGGCTGCCATGCTTTCTACTCCCTTTATGGCATCCCACACACTGCTGATCATCAGAGACTGCTGGACTGCAGCACTGTGGACACAGCAGCACACACACACCACACACACACGCACAAATACAGTGGGATTAGACCACAACAAAACAAACAGCCCTACCAAACCTTGCATGAGATGCACCAAAATGTTTCCTAAACTCAATCAGGAGACAAAGTCACACACAATGTTTTCTCCCAAATGCACAGTACCATCATTTTCATTCTTTTTCTCTAAATTTGTTGACCTTTGTTGACCCTTAAGACTTCTGGGAAAACATACTGTGGACCAACAAGAACAAACAAAGGAACTTTTTGGATCTGGTCTAAAAGAGGCTGACTCTCTGTTTTTGAGTTTCTCTCCTTGTATTTAATGACCAATTAAATACTTAATTAGTCATTAACCATGTGTCCTGGTTTATTGTACCTAAGCTCCTCTATGTGGTGAAGGCACTTCAGGTATTTCATGGATCTCTCTATGAAGTCCACATGGTTACATGTCTGGCCCAGATCCTCCATCCACTGCTTGGTCCCCTGTAGGTGCTAGAGAAGAGCAACAAGATCATCATAAATACAAACACCATAAAACACTCATAACACGACTAGGGTTGAAATGATTAATCATGATGAGTCAATTAATTAAACAGTCTTCAATTAATTTAGTACTTGTTTCTATGAGCTCTACTGCGATGGACTGACAACCTGTTCAGGGTGACCCCACCTCTCACCCATTGACAGCTGGAGATAGACACCAGCACCCCTCATGACCCCAATGGGATGAAGTTATAAGAAAATGGATAGAAGGATAATTTAGAAATTGGTTAATCGTTAACTGGAATGTACAGACTAAAAAAAACCCTACACATTCAGAGTAGAAACTAACCCTGAACTGTAAAAAAATATTTAAACATTTTGCATTTAAAATAAAAATCTCTTTATCTGTAAATATGTTTAACTTCACCTGGTTCAAACTCACTACAGGAAGCAGTTATTGCATTTTAGGCAGTTAAAATGACTTTTAAAAAAAAAAAACTGGGAATGGGTTTATTTGCATCTTTAATGTATTTCTTATAATGTATAGAAAAAGTTTATGTGGTTCAATGACAAATCTGTAGAATGAGGCTATTGTTTTATCCAACTAATTGACTAATCGTCAAATAACTGATTGCTGAAATAATGATTAGTAAAATAACAAAGAAAATGCATGGATCCAACTGGACAGAGACCCCTAGATCTCTAGGGGGAAATGCAGCATTAATCAGTGGGAACTGTTCACAAGACGATCTCAGGCTTAAATCTGACCTTTGGACACTTTGACCTAAAACTATCTCTATCGTTGATTCTATGAGCTCTACCTGCTGCAGCTTGTTGGAGATGCGCTGCTCTCTCTGCAGCAGCTCGTCCAGAGAACATCTGACCTCCACTGCAGCAGAAAGAGCTGCTGCAACTTTAGGAGGAGCAGAACTGCAAACAGTCACAACCTGAATAAAAAAAGGAGACATTCACATTGGATTTTATATAGTCATAAACTTGTGTTTACTTTCGTGTTTACTCAGAGTTGAGCCAACCGACCTGCGCCTCCAAAGCTTCGGTCTCCTCTCGGATCTTTTCCAGCAGCTCACAAACATTCCTGGAAGAATTCAGGATGTCGCTCTCCTCCTTCTCCAGAAACTCCAGTCCGTAGTCCTCCTGCTCCCCCAAATCATCAGGAACTCCTTCATTCCTCTGAGAAACCTTCTCTTTTAACTGATCGCTACTTTTTCTCATTGGGGAGTCTTGTTGCTCCTCTGTAACTGCAGCCATTCTCCCTTTAATCTACCGGGATGACGTTGTCTTTCCGGCGAGTACAAATCGAATGTTAAAGTTACTGCCCCCTGCCGCTTCGGGGTGGTATGAAAGCAGAATGAAGGCCACTGTTTGTTTTTATTGACATGTATTATGAATTGAACAGTGGTGGTGAAAGTACTCAAAAAATTTACTTAAGTAAAAGTACAAACACACAGACAAAAATGTATTCAAGTAAAAGTAAAACTATCACATTAACATTTGTACTTAAGTAAAAGTACAAACACACAGACAAAAATGTATTCAAGTAAAAGTAAAACTATCACATTAACATTTGTA